GCACGTTCTCACTTGAGGCAGAGACAGCATGAAACAACACCGTGTCAGTGGTGAAGAAACCACTGCAGCCAGTGGTGAGGGCAAGGGCTGAGCAGGATCATGAATTGTCCTTTTCCATGCCCAGAACCGAGGGTTTAGGGCACCCAGGCAGTCTGTCCTTTCTTGTCGATCTTCTGGGCTGGAGGCTACAGCAAAGCAAATGTCATGGACTCCTGGAGTGATAACCTCTCTCAGATACAGTAGAAAAGCTCCAAATAACCTCACTACAAAGTATAAAAGAAAAAAACCCATATTCTTGGGCATGAATGTATAAATGGGATTGAAATGTCACATTCGCTTCAAATGCATTCAGAATTTGGAGTACACTACTGTTCTGCATACGATTTTTTTCTTCCAAAAGATGTGACTTCTCTGTAGGCCTGTAACCGTTAACTCAATATGTTCCTGACCCACAGAATATGAAGCAACTGCAGGTCAACATGAACATGAAATTTCCAATAGAAATAACAACTGCAATCTCTCTAAAGGCTGGATTGGCTACATGATGCCCATCATGACCACATGGATACCTCCAACAGCTTTACAAACCTGAATATATATATATAGTATAGTTATCTTGAAAGAGAGAACAGGTTTTGTGTTTGCTTACTGTAGACTATTTATATGGAGGAAGCCAGCAGCATTTCACTGCTGCCGCTTCCAGTGTTGAAAAAGGGGGGCTGGACATGTGCTCCCTTTCCTCGTGGATAGATTCCCATGGGAAGGAAACAGAACACAAGAGCCAAAGGGGAGATGTTGGCTCGCACAAGACCAGGTCTGCAGAACACAGCGAAGACTGCTCTTACCACTCATCTGGACAACGTAAATCAGAACATTTTGTGCTACAAGAACCATTAGGAGTTTGCCTTTTTCTTACATCTTATTGAAAGTAAGCTTTTATATGACTTCAGAAGAGCTGTAGCTCTTTAGTCCCTGGGGCTGGATGGCACCCAGTCATCTGCTCAGAAAGCAGGTCATAGGCTCAGTGTTGTAGAAGTCAACGAGAAAAACTGTACATATCAGAGTAAAATTACTCTTCACCCAGCACCATACAAAAGCAAACAATTTGCTATTGCATGCTTCAGGAGCTGTACTGGACACCCAGCTCAGGCTTCAGAAGTTGTGGATCTGCTCCCTGTCCCTTGGTGACCTCCAACAAAATATCTTCTTGTCACATGCCACATCCTCTGTAAAGCACCTTTATAACGCATGTACTGTGAGGTATTTTAGCAGATGTCACACTTGGCATCGTGACAGCTGATTCAGGTGAAGCACAGGAGGGCTTCACCCAGCATTTTGCCTCCCAATTTCAATTCACATTGCTCTGGAGATGCCTCCCTGATGTTCCCACAGGAGCTTCCTCCTCCACAGCTGTATCCCTCCAAATTCCATTTTCTGCCCCACAAAGCCCTCTGTCCATCACCAGATGTTTTCAGAACCCAGAGCTTACTCAGACAGTAGCTGTAGTCACTGGTGTGCAGCAGCAGTGTAAAAGGAAAAGAAATGCACTCTGAAATAGGGTGCAAAGCTGCACATAATGAGTTACACACTAGGTTACCTGCTTTAGATCACCTTTGGATGCATCTGTTTCTCTTCAGTGACTTTATACAGAGCTTGACATTTTAGGTGAACAGAATTATGCCCAAGGTATGTTTAGGCATCTACAGCAGATAATGTCAATAATAGATACTATTGTACTAAAATCCTGTGGTCTAGCAGTCTATGCAGAGCTTTCACTGAAACAATTTCTACATGAATCTGAGTATCGTGC